AATATTTATAAAGCTGAGACGATCAGTGGTTGTTGAAATATGTACACTGTGTCAAAACTTTTTGAACTCCCCACGTACTTTGTCCTTTTTAATTTCACTTCTGCAGTAAGGACACTCCAGGTTGTTTAATGACAAAAGAGCTTTTGAACTAATAATATGTTGACAAGTAAGCTGGTAAAAGTCACCAATTGCTTCACAAGTAATAGGACATGTTAGATCTTCTGCAATATAGTCAATTGGATTTCTCTCAACACCTTTTCCTTTTCCTTTCTCTTTGTCTTGATGTTCCATATTTTGAGTACCTGTCATTTGATTTGGTAAATATGATAATATCATGTTTGATTCAGCCTTTAACCTCTCTTTCAGATAGTAATACATGTTAACCATTTTTGGTATAAACTTTTCATCACAACTAAAAATATCATCAGGTGTTGTGACAAACAATTTACTGTTTTTGACTTCAAGCCTCAATAGCACTTCAATGCATTTAAATTGAATAGATTCAGTGGTAGCATTGTTCAAAGAGTCTAATACTATGTAATAGCAAATAGCCTGAGTAGTTGAAGAAAAGGTTTCCTGTACTAGTTGCTGGATAATATCCAAAATACCAAACCAGAGATCATCACTAATATCTTGGTTCTCTACAGCATTTTCAGCATAGCATAAACTGACATGATACCAGAGATACTCAAGAAGCATTCTTTCTTTAAAGCTCACTGAAATGACAGACTCTTGTTCACACCATTTGTCAAGACTATCTTGTAATATTATTAGTTGTCTCCAGGTTACATACCATGACTTGCCTGATGGTTCAATGTAAAAGGCTTCTTTGAAATGCTTCCAAGATCTTTCAATGTCAAAATCACCAAGAGGAACTTCAACTCCTGCATAAGCTTTAATCCCAAATTTGGCTAATCCAGGAACTGCCACAAGTAAACTCTTTAATGCTGCAATGGCTCGATCAATAATTGTCTGGTACTGGTTTTTCTCATCACAAACAGTGTTTAAGGTGTGCTTGATGAGTTTGAGAAAGTACCTAATATTGTAATTGCAATTAAAGCCTTCAGTGATTTTGCCTGATTCATTAGATCCTGATACTTCAAGTTTCCAAGTTTCTCCTCCATGTTGCATAATCTTTGAATGTGCATTCTTGTACATAGAAACGGCTCGTCTAATAACATCAAGAAACTGACATGTAAATCGGCACTTCCTCTGACACATTTGCTCCAGTATAGTAATAATAGTACGTAATTGCCACTCCAATTTAATAGTTGTTTCCTCTGAAAAGACATCATCCAACTCTTGAGAACATAGGCTCTTTATAGTTTTATTTAACATATCCACTGACGCAGAATCTCCTTTATGTTTGAGTATGTATTTGAGTGCGTAAATATTGCGCGAATAGTTCAAGTCTGTTAATAGTTCTTTTATTTGGTCGTCTGTTGACGTAAGCCCTTGTTCCATTAATTGAAGTATGACTTTAGGAAAGCTGCCTTGATTCACGGTGTTGCTCATCGAAGATGTCGTTGGAGCACTTGTGAGAATGTTGCCTGGTACATTGTTGATTGTCGAGCTAAAACTCGTCGAGCTTCCAGTTTCCTACAAACAAACATGCATGGTAATATAATAGTTAACAAACTGAGCGAATGGAGCATTTGACATATGTTACTATCTCTACCTCATATCCTGCCATTATGTATGAATGCGATCACTTCACCAGCGCTCAATGATAACGACGATTATCACTCCTTGTTTCTATTGGCTCTGTGTGACATCTCATGGTAACGTAAGTTACACAACACAATAGTTGCACACACTTACAGTTTGTGATACTTTTCTATGTGCCGCCGCTCCCAAATAGCTTACGATTATTATGACGACCTGATGGTTAACGAAGCGTTTGCGCAAATAGTCAACGATATTTAACTATACAAACGGCTCTCAAAAGCTGTTAACCGCACCGCATCTAACGTCAATACCAGTATAACGAGTTCGACAAGCTTCGAGGAATTCTATCAACGATTCAATTTGTACGTCCCAAGTATCAGTTTGGCTTTAACTTTATTATCACCTATTCTTCTATGCGGTCATACACGCATATTGCTCTTAGCACACACGTCCATAGAACGTCCGCTTGTCTTATGCATCCCCAAATACGTTCTTCAAAGAGAAACTTTTTTATCAGTAGAATTACTCGAGTATGAGAGGAATAAATAGACACTAGAAAACGTGAATATGACAAGTATTAGGTGGTGATAACCGTACGTTACATTCTATAGTTTGTTCAGTAAGTTTGACGAGTAGAAATTAATGGCTTTAATCCACTAAAACTCTAATACTAATCCCAATGCTTCTTGATTAGCGAATTGGAATGCAGTACGACGTTAACATCAATTTCGGGTTATTAGAAGGTGAAAGAATGCTGATGTTGAAACCATTAATCTTTTTGCTCTTGACAGGCTTTTCACGCCTTGTACCAGTCAGTCGTCGACGGCATTGAGATTACGCTTTCCAAACTGGCTTTTGTTCAACGAGGTAAATAAAGACGTTATAGCAAGTCTCTATTTACTTTACTTTTGGTTTGTTGCTCGTAATTTCGGACGCTCCACGTTTAGGTTATACAGTACTTTGACTTTTTCTTTTTGTAGCTTGTCAGCAGACTGACCAAGCGACAATGACAACATTTTTTCGCCGAAAACGGCAATGCAACTCTTCTGGATCATCCACAGAATAACAGCTAGAACATAAACAAAGGATGGGGCATAACTTACTCGAGATTTGTCTTTAGCGCATGTTAGAAACGGTATAACATCCACAGAAGGCGTCAAGTATTCGAAACACGACACACGCGGAAATTTTATAATCGAGTTTTTATCCGCCGCTTTTACCGTGATCTGCATATTGTACGGAATAATTTGAATAACCTTAAAAAATCCGGCCATGTGATAACTATGTGATTATTGAAATGACCTATCATTAAGATTCGATTTTACCGTAATGAGATGGATGTCGATAGACATAGGGTACTTCCCTTGTAAGTGGAACTGGAACAAACAGATTACTTTATTGCATTTTTAACGCTACCAAACCTTAAGACGCCGCACTAAGGACTTAGTATTAGATTTTAGGATGGGAGAGGTCAATTATTATATTATTAATACTAGTACTTATATTTCATATTGCATTTTCAGAATCAAAAATTGACTCTCAGCATAGTTGAGGATACATTTAAGGTGAATTATCGTTGTTTTGGATGCCTGTTGGCAATGTGTTCTACTGTGCAAAGAATCGCTTACGAGCATGGTTAATGCATGACTTTATTAGGTAAACTGGCACAGCTAAGTTATGGACTTGAGTATTAAAGATAACGAAAGGAACACAAATAATCGAATGAAAGGGGTTGTATTTATGATGACAACTTCTACGTCCGATTGTATTTCATCACCCGTTGAGTGAACAGAGTCTACTCTCGGGACTTGGAGTCCCGTTTCAAAGATAGCCCTTTTCTGACCTTCGCACGCAATCCATGCCTTTATAGCATCAACAGTGTCATTATCTTTTGGAACCTCCTGCCCGTTCAATAATTTAGAAACAGCTGACTGATTCAATCCTATCTTCGTCTTAGCAACAGAACGTATTTCAGCTGCAAGTCCTGCTTGCGTAAGTTTACTCCGCGCACTTTTCGCCATTGATATAACTCTTTAACGTGCCTTACAAGCTGTTCATCTCTCTCACCTTAGACGCCGATCCTTACTCCAGGTTTCGTCGTCATCATTCGCTTCACGATTTTGCCGCCGTCTCATTGTTTTTACGGATCTATCACATGATGAGTGCGTAGCTAATAAAACGTGAGACAAAGATAAACCATTAGCAGTAATACATACTCTTTGAACAACAGCTTTTCAGCAACCAGCAATTGGGAGCCATTAAGCGTATGTGCTCGCTTGTACAAATACTCGTCAATATCAACATTCCTTTGTCGTATTTCAAACGTTTTGCAGATGTTGAAGTTGACCTCCACTGTTGCCGATGTTCTTCGTTCACGTTCAGCAATCCGCTTAATTAGGTTACCCCATAAGACAATATTGCCCCACCACTGGCTGCTGAAATAGTGCTGGAGCTCGGGACTGTATAGTGGGTTTTCAAATTGAACACTGATTGTTATTTTCTGCTTTAGGTCATGGATCGCAAAAATGTATTTTGCGAAGAATTGCCGGCCATCGTGAACGATTATTTGGCCCCCTTTCTTTGCTGTTGCCAGAGAATCTACAGCTACGTATGTTTGTAACTGTAAATATCAATTGGCCATTTAATGTATAGTTTTAATGTTGTTCAGACGGTCGCTCATCCGAATTTTCATTTGGCAGGCTGTCATCCATTAGCCATGTATCAAGTCTCAGATCAACTTCATTGACGTCTAATGGTGTTGTCTTCTCCAGTCTCAATTGTGACATTATCACATACGTTCAACTTACTCGTTAGGATATATTGGCCATTATAATCGATTCTTGCATGCGTATTTGTTAAATCGAATAGTCTAATGCATAACAGCCAATTCCATTTAAATGCTTCCCAGTCAGCATTATTGTAATACACTTGTGCCTGTGTGTGGAGCTACATTTTCTCATAGCTGCCTTTTCAAAGGGTTTCTTTTCAACTCCGGAATGAGTTTTAAAATTTCCTGAATGGACATGCTGACGCACTACCCTGGTGTAACAATCTGTAATATGATGACGACGGAGTAATAGTGAAGACAACATCATATGCTGATGTCGTAGTTAGCAGGTATATAGTCATTATTATACATACATACGAATATATATAGCAATTATGTAGTCATTATTAGTATATACGATATCTCGTCATAGTTATATCAGATAGTCATTATATATACGATACTCGTCATAGTCATATCGGATATAGTCATGGAATTATGAAGTATAAAAGAACATTATTTTGTTTAATAATAAAGGAGACTTTCGAGACTTTTAGTTAATAAATGTTAAGTCGCCCACGGAACTTCGAAAAATTACTAACATTATTTTGAAGCCGTTTACACCTGGAAATTTATCAATTATTATTAGTAAGCGAATTGTAAATTGTTGGAGATATTTACTAATACTAACCGTATACAATGACCAAAACACCAAGCTATTGTAACCTTTGTAGGGTCTGGCTCTTCATTTCTTTTGGCTGACAGTAGCACCTTTGAAGGTACTCATGTGTTGTTTCTTTGTTGTATACTTGTACAGCAGCTCTCAGGATTCCTCTTGCACAGTCTGTTTGTATGGAACCACATTTGAATGAAATATATCATAGTCATCTTTTCGAAGTTTCTGTAAACAGGTTGCCAGATGGTCAGCAGATAGGTCTGCAGTTATAAATTCAGCAACCAGAACGGGTGGTGCCTCCGCTTCAAGTCTTGAATCACCAGATTTCAGAACCATCATCGCATTTAGTATTTTCTTTGGTGGCTCAATACCATCACCAGCATTGCGCATAAGCCTGTACATGTTTCTGTAATGAAATCAGTGTTAGTATGATCAATATATTATTTTATTGACATAATAATAATGTTCTTACTTTATCATTTGTCCAGTGTAATCTATAAATAAGCCTGGGTTTTGACTTGAAAAATGATGGTAGTAGTGAACAGCAGCCTCATTGTAAATTAGAATTGATAAAGGGTCGGTCAGTAAGCTCATGAAATTCACGTATTTGTTAATGATAATTGTTTCCAACATGTGTGCAAAAAATTGACAAGAATATTAAGTACGATTTTAATTTAACTATAGCGATTGATTTGATCCTTCGAAGGCGCGAAATTGACTTTGTCATCAATCATGACTAACTCAACAACCAAGAATCCAAAGCTCATTAAATTCACATATTTGTTAATGATAATTGTTTCCAACATGTGTGCAAAATACTGATATGTGCGCAAATTGATACAGCATATTAAGCAGGATTGAATACTAATTTTCTTGGTCGACGTTTTTGAGAATCAAGCATATCGTTATAACATTCTATGCAGTATATTAATATACAATTACTGTACGTCCCAATTTTTAATACACTATCATAATATGAAGGTAATAATAAAAGAAATTAGTCAGAAGCCACATTCCTTCATGACTCTTAACTAGTAATGCAACTTGTTCTCACAAGGTACTGTAATGAAAGCTACACACTACCTTTGACTCCTGTGGTTTACTCATTATAATTAGGCCGTTTGACAGTGAGATTCTAACCAATTCAGAGAAGGCAACGTTCAGTTGACTACACACTGATAAGCAAAAAGGAACCTTACAGTGAAATTCTACCGCACGAAGAAGACTAATATCATTCTTCCTTATGTGAAAGAGCGTCCAAATAACGAATTTTCAGATTGCCGAAGGTAAGACCGTGACATAAACGTTTTCGCCAAAGTGATTTCGACTGTTTATAATACAATACCAGGCCCACTGAAGTACCGAAGACCACTACCTTGCTAACAAGCATAAAATACATACAATATGAACATATCACATTTAGATATCAAATTCGGAATTTTTTAAGAGCGCTCCAAGTTATGCATGTTTATCATTGGTTGGTTGTCTTTGACTTAAATTGGAAATCATCATCGTGCCTACATAATAACCTAATACTAAATAACCGTGATAATAATCCGGATTTCAGCGGGAAAAGCGGCGGATAAATACTCGATTATTACAAGATATAGTATTTCATTCAAATTGCATGATCGTGAATTTCATTTTGAAGGTTACGTTATGAAAAATATGTCTTGAGTGTTTTGGTGCTTAGTTTTATCGTATACGTCATTCTGGGTTTGATCCTTTATAGATTAAAATGGCAAACTTGTGAAGCGACGACTAACTGAACTTTATAAAAGAAAACTTTTATCGTACATCTTACATGATTTTACTTTTCATCATTTAATTGTAACATTGCATTGTTAAAAGTAACGATAGCCCAAAAAGTATTGTAATTCGTATGTATCTATCGAAGTACCCTTCTCGACACGCAGAATCCATTGTCAAAATAAGCATGACGTTGCAAGACTGTCAGCGTTATACAAATCACGATATGACTAACTCCGTAATGCACAATTTCCCTGTGGTACACTTGTCAAACATTGACAAAACCAATAGGATAAACAGCACCTATATATCCGATTACCACTTGTTAAGTATACGGCTGAATAAAGTATTTTCGTAAAATGGCATACGAGGTATTAAACAAAACATTACCTCCGTTGTATTTACTCTAACATTGAGCATTAACCTTTACATTCTAATGTAGGAATCCGAAAGCTCGACTTCTATCAACCATGTATTTACGCCGAACAGCACTGTAAACCAAGGCAGTATCCCTAAACTCATATGCACGCTGATTGACCAAGGATGTATCTCTGCAGATGCGCAAATAAAGAAATTACTAACGGATATACAGTATCCAGAGAATCTTTACGCTCTCAAATATGTTCTTGAACATGAAGGTACTTCAGTGTCATTGGAGATGTTAGTAAAGGCGATGGAAGCTCTGCGTTCTCAAACGAATGAAGTGGCATTTTCAGAAGAAGCGCCTATTAAACTGGAATGGCAGTTACGAATCATTACAGCTATTCTGGAGCAGGTGTGTGAGCGTAGACCTACACTTACAAGTCAGTTTCTTGATAACGTCAGAAAAACGGCTTCCATGTACAAAAGGACGCATGAAAAGATTTCGCAACATGGAGGAAACTTTTGGAAGTCAAATTGTTCAGAATTTAATGAACCGGATGGAGATAT